CGGGGCGGAAAAATGGCCGCGGACCACGTGGCAGAGCGGAAAAATGGCCGCGGACCATGCGGAAGGGCGAAAAAACAGCCGCGGACCATGCAGCAGGGCGGAAAAACGGCCGCGGACCACGTGGCACGGGCAGAAAAATGGCCGCGGACCACGTGGAACGGGCAGGAAATGGCCATGGACCACATGTCATAGCGGGAAATGGCCACGGATACGGTTCGTAACCCGAGGTAAATTTTTGCCGCCGGAGCTGGTCGCAACCCGAAAAGTTCATTAGCAGAGGCGTTCGTAACCCAAGGTACCACTGTATTTACTCTGAATAAATAAGCTACTTAGCAGTTAAAGAGCTGACCTCAAATTTACAGTCAAGTAATATCTGATTCTGAAACATCAGTTCTCTCAGGCTATTGATTCTTCCAGTTGACAAACAGTCCCTGAGATGTCAAAAAAGTTGAGATTATGTCAAGGTTTTTTTAAATAGTTTTTTTAAAATAATTGTGCCCTATAAAGAGCCAATGCAAACAGAACAATTTACTATACCGGTTTCATCATGTGCTGTGTTCAAAACAGAAGATTAAAGAGAAGGAAAGACACAGAGGGACAAAAGTTTAAAAAACTATAAACAGGTCCCATCCTGCACAGTAGAATTAAAAGTGTGCCCCATTTGTAAAGCATGACATAAATAGTATAGGAAAACATCCAAAGGTACACTTCCAGAAATCAACCATTAAAATCTGGGGGAGACGGGCGGCATATAAATTTAATAATAAATAAAATTAATAATAATAAAATAAAACACATTTTCCATCAATTCAGATACACGTTTTGCAGTTTGTAAAATAAATCGCAATTGTAGGGAAGAAATACATAACTTACATTCTCTTCTTTGTTTTGTTGATCACTAATCTTAGCTAGTTTAAACCATAGCTCCTTATGTCCAAAAGAAAGAACTATGGTTTAATGTCAGTTTACAAACATAAAAAACAAGCTATAGTTTGGACCATGTCTCATATTTTATGCATTGTGTCCTATCCTAATTTTAGTGTATTATCAGTTCCTTAACATTTGTTCAAGGAATATATGACAACGTTTCTCAATTCAAATGCTGAAATATCTTTATTTCATGCTAGTTTGCTTTCTCATGGGTCACTGAGACAAGCAGCGCAAATTCTGCAGAAAGTAGAAAATACGTTTTCATAGCAATATGATGCTACACCCAAAGTAAAAATATTTTTTTTAATTCAAATAATACCAAATGAATGCTAGTTCTCCACATTTATATCTACAGAGATTATAGGAGCAACTCAGGAGCAAGCATGGCAAAACCATTCCCAGGTTATCATATTGATCACAACAATATGATCAATACTGTGGTGCAATATCATAACATAAGGAATGTATACTAATTTGTTTGGGTTTTATTTTATGCTATAGATACTATGGAATTCTTGCCATGAGAAGTGCTTTCACTGGCATTCATTCATGTTAATTAATAGTATACTGTCAATTCCTGCTCTTCCTGGGAACTTATTCCTCAAGACTAATGAGCTGTACATTAAGAAGAAGAAGAAATCTTTCACTGCTCAGATGTAGGTAACAACAGCCCTGATTGCTGCCATAAGGCCCTCTAGAGAAATAGCTTACTGTAACACGCAAGCAGAATTGCTTTTAGGTTCTGTAACTACATGCTGCAAGTTGTATGAATCCAATGTTTCCTTTTCACAGTCTCATACATAGGACTGCCATGCTGGCTATCTGAATTGTTCTCTAGCTTTCTTATATGTGCAGGAAATGTAGGGTGTGTTTCTCCCCTAGAGAAGAATTTAGATCATGCAGTCCCTGACTTGCAGTCTGACATACAGTATATAATTTTGAAACAGGTTAGGCAGATTGCCGGCTTATTTAGTAACACTGCAGTTTGGACAAGTTCAACAGCTACAAGATGAATATACCAATATCTGTTTTGAGACATTTGTAAAACTACACAATTTTATAATACTAACAGCAAAATTGTATGTATGCAGCATCTATCTACTTAAATGCTCCACTGAAGTAATCAATGAAGTTTACTCTTATTAAGTATATGCACGTTTGCAATCATTTCATCAAATTTAGTCCATGTTTGCATTTGTTATCTGGATGTCCAATCATGTGTTTCCATGTTCAACTGCTTAAGGACAACATTTGCTCACAGATTAGGATAAAAGCTATTGTTCAAAAAGTCAAATTGTTTATGCTATAAACTGCATTCAGACAAAGTCAAGACAGTAATCCTTCCAAAATGCTCAAAGAAAAGTGAAGGAAAGTAAACAAAATATAAAAATGGGAAAGTAACATGTTCTAAAAGAGCCACCATTGAAAGTCCCCTTGCTAACTATATATAAGTGAAATCACAAAAGAGATTATGACAATTTAATCCATATATGACACCAAATGTAACTACACTTCTGGATAAGCTAAAAACTATTGGAGTACAGCAGCATAGAAATGTCAGCAATAAATAGATAAAATAAATGTTTCACATATCATGCTAACTGTAGTTTAAAAAAAAACAGCTGAAGGAGCCTTTCATGCATAATTGTTTTGTAAACCGCCCAGAGCTGTTTAATGAGATGGGGGCTGACAAGTTCGATAAATAAATAAATAAAATAAATAAATAATGCTATGCCATAAACAGTTTACAAACCACGATAGGTGGATGTACACAGCATATTAAAAACAAAAGCAAATACAGTATATGGCTTGATGCAATGGGAGAGCCACACCTATACATCTACATATACATTCGCAATCCTAGTAGTTTACCTGCCAAACTCTAAACAGCTCCTTGTAGGTTCGTACAGCTCTTCCACCTCATACACATTAGCATCCTGGTTTTCAACACTGCTAGAATGTTGTCTTTCAAAACATATTTCTTTATCAGTAGCTGCAAAAGGCAAGTTCTCGTATTCTGGGATTTCTTCATAATGGCTCACATTTTCATATTCATGTATGTTGTCATGCGTATGAGAATTCAAATGTCCTTGCAATGAGAAAGCCTGTTCATCTAAAGACTTTGATCTCTGACCAATGTTAATTTCATTCTGACCTCTGGATTTCTGTTTTCCCTTTTGTGAGAATAAGCTGCCTATTTCTGCTGAATGTGCCTTTGCAGGTTTAGCTTTCCTTCCGTTTGTCGTGGCCATCACATTCCAGTTTTTGGCAGGCCCTTCTCCACCAGGGATACTCCCATTGGCATTATCTGTAGACTGTGTGGCCTTTGCCAGAAATTTCTGGAAGTCACTTTTCAATATGCAAACAGACCATTTCATGTTTAGGAATTTTTTTAGCGAGCTTTTCTTTTGAGGTTCTTTTGGAGGCTTGTGTATTCTGTCCATGTCTACAGAAGACAAGGATTTGGCTCGAGGTTTTGTTATAGTCCTGAAGCATTCCATTTTTTTTGCATTTTTGGTGTTTTTTAAGGCTTCTGGGTTTCCTGAAAATGGAAGGATAGGATGAGGTAATTTCCAAATTGGTTTCTCCAAAGATGATGTTGGAGTATCACATGACAGGACTGCATTTTCTTCTCTGGTTGAGAAATGCCTTATCAGAGGAGCCTCTGAAGGTCTATTTTCATTAGAAAAATAAGCACTTGTCTCTAAGAGTTCCTCTGATGAAGCTTTTTTTAATAGTCCAGCTGCAGCGATGCCATGTCTTTGAGGTTTCTTAGGAATGATTCGTGAACTTTCACCTTTTAAGTAAACATATTTAGCTTCCTTCTTTTGTGCAGAGGCATCGAGGGTCACCAAGGCCGGTAAAGGTTGATTGCATGATAATTTTATTTGTTTAGGCAAACTCATAGAAAGATTACTACAGCGTACAAAGCCAGTCTCTTTAGGATCAGTTGCCAACATACTGTTATCTTCCATTATGTTAATGGAAGGGTTTATTGAATGAAGGTCCAAAGAATGTCCAATATTTTCTAAGTGAGAGTTTTCATGTACAATTTCAGGTGAGTGGCTTTGTGGAATCAGTTCTTTGGATTCAGCAGATTCTGTTGTAGGATGCACTTTTCTTACAGAATATGAAGCAACCTCAAATTTATCCACTGCATTTATATGTTCTTGATTTTTATAGGAAACGCTCTGAACTAGAACATTAATTTTTGCTGTTTTCTTAGTGGCATACTCATGAATCCCAGAACTATCATATTCATCCTCTCCTGAAACATCAATGCCATCTTGACGAACTAGACAGGAAGTATGTAGCTTTCTTGGTTTTGGAACTGGAAAAGGTTTAGTTGATACTACAGAGTTGGTTCCAAATGAAAGTCTGTCACTGTCTTTTGGGCAAGATATTATAGATGTATTATCCACATCCATTTTTTCCATATCTGCTGAGTTACTCAAACAGAAGGAATTATTGTTGTTTTCAGTCAAAAGAGGAACTTCCAACATTTCAGATTCAACAACAGCTATCTTTGCATCATCATTTGAGCTGTCCTTAATTTTTTCAAAACTGGATATAGGTGGGACAAGATTTGTAAATTCTATTTTAATATCATTGTTATAATTAACAGGATTAACTGTTTCAGGTTTACTTAAATGCCTTTGCCTCAAATGGCCATTATTAGGGAAAACATTTTGTATCACAACATCTTCAAGTTTTTCCTCTAGAACATTAGTCTTTAAGACAACCTTATAGTTATTGGTATTGTTTTCATTATTGCTTTCAAATATTGTTCCAGGCTTCAAAGATGATGATGGTTGTTCATCTATATCAATGTTCTCTAGGTTTTCTAACTGTTCAAAAATGGTTGCATTTTTGCATGTATTCTCCTGATCCCCACATTTATGGATGCACTCAAAATTGCAAGAACACAGGGATATAATATAAGCCGCATTGTCTGTTGGCACCCCATTTTTATAATTCAGATGAACAAAGTACTCAGAAGAGTCTTTTTTGTGATCTTCTAAACTCTTTAAATTTCTCCTTATGGAGGCAGAGGCAGTTTTAACTTCAGGAACAGACGAGGATTTAAGCACTTTTGGTTTTGGTGCTATTGCAGGCTTTGTTTTCTTTGAGGATTGCAGAACATCCACCACCACCACGTCTGGTTTAGGTGCTACAGGAGGTGGCACTATTTTGTGTCCTATCACCAATTTTGGTTTTGGGGCCACTGGTGGCTTCTTAGTTTCTAGAAAGGAGGGAAAAAGGAAAAAAAGAGAAATATCAGGTTGGTCAGAATAATGTTGTGCAAGTTATAAAATGCAAGCCTTTGTATGAGATCTATCTGTAAGGAAAAGTTTCACCAACCAGTGAGAAGGGAGATAAGTGTTAATGAGTCATGATTTAATTGTGTTCTTTAAATGTTTGTTTGCCAAGAATGAAAAGAAACAAAAAGTTAACAATTAAGATTTTCTTATTTAAAGCAAGTATTAGGCAACATTAAAATTGTAGAAAACTGATTTAAATATCAGTTTATCACCAAGAATGATTATAATTAGTGAGTAGTCAGACACCAACACAGAGATAGTCGCAAATATATTCCTGAAATGTCTTATCATTCTTTGGTGACTGATCTCCTCTCTAATGATGCATTATTTGGTCTGTTCTTAACAGGCCATTGTGCACTTCTATTGCAAAGTTTTCCCCAAAGTGGCCAAAGTTTACACTGTAGAAAATAGCTGTTAGAAGCTGTTAAATCTGAACATAATTTACTTTTTGCCCTGAATAGAGTTTTCATGTTGGAGGGTTTATATTTTAACTCTGGTGTGGAGGTTTTTACCTATGATTAGTTTTTAAAAAAGGCTTTGAAAGTCAAGGTTGAAACACCTTCCCACTGGATTCTCATCATCCACAAATACCCACCCAATATTCAATATATCAAAACCTCCAATAGAAGAGAATATATGTAGCTCAGGGTTGAACTGTGGAGTCCCTAGCACTCACTGAATTTGGTTCAGAGAGCACCAAGGACTCCACATACCAAAAACTCTCTCCAAGGATATGGAAGATTTTCATGTCTACATGTGCCAATATACTTCTTTCTTACATACCTGCAACTGACTTACTGGTACCATTTTTTTAAAAAAGGGACAACCAAATCTGAGAAAATATGTCAACTTCAGCCAATTTCAAACAACAAAGTCTTACCACATCAACTTCTACTTCTATTTTATCACTCCCTGATAAGATTTACATCACACTTACACATTATTTGCTTAATCACAGCTGCTGAGCAAAAACAGCTGGTTCATGCAATATGCTAAGCCCTGAACCATACTGAACAAACCAAATTGCTAGAAACACACGAGACAAGCCATATTATAACTTATTGTTACATGTAAGCTCAGCTAATATTTGAATTTTCCACTTGGTTTGCTTAACTTCTCTAAAGATTGTAACTCAGTGTGAGGAACCTGTACACACCAGATGTCGTTGAACTACAATTCCTAGCAGCTTACCCTATAGAGTTGGCAAAGAGATGCTTCAATGTTTGAAATTGCTATTTTCTATCATATTTTATTTTTAGTGCACTGGCTGTGTTTAACAAGTAATCTCAATTTGGCTATCATAAAAGAAGTTTTGTAATTTGTTGTTAGACCTTTTTTTGTTAGAAGTCAAATTCCCACCCTTTAATAGAAAGCTGTATGTATAAACTGATACTATATCCTCCAGTTGGCAACTGAAAAGATTCCTCCTTTCTTCTGAAGACTACAAAATCTAGACTGCCAAGCAAACCTGAAGATGCATCATCTCCGATTTTCAATATCAATCTCATTTTCCTTAATATTCAGGACAAACAAGTTCTGTCATAATGATCTCATATCATTTTAATTTCCAAGCCTGTTCTTTCCTAATCATAAAACACTGACATAAATAATGTAACTTATAACAATTTAAGAAACAATCAACACTAACAGACCACAGGCCTATTTGTACATAGTTCTTTCAGAAAACTTCCCAATTTAACCAGCGTTGCACAGTGTTGGGAAGAGGTCGGTTCAGTCTGTACTTGACCATGGAATGCTCATAAGATGACTCTGTAATCACTACCTCTCAGTTCAATATACCCCAGAAAATTGTAGTGAAAATAAAATGAAGGCAGACCTTCATATATACCACTTCAAGTTTTCAGAAAAAGGTAGAATGTAACTATAACGATAAAAAGTATCCTATACAGTTTTATCATTTTGGCTTCTATACAATTTTTACAGAAGGAAAAATGCACAGAAGTAATACATATATTTATAGTCTAAACAATTAATTCTTTTAGTATCTGAAAGCAAGTAAGTAAATTTAATTCAGAAGCTTTTATACTCTTCCTAGGTTTATCCACTTTAGTGAAACTTAAGCTACAGCATGCATATACAATTAGACAAGACTATGGACTCTCATACAAGGATTATACAGGACTTCATATTCAAAGGCAAAGAAGTATTCTCAGTTTAATTATAGCATCTGTCTGCAACTCCTTATACCAAACACATATTTTCCTGATACCATGTGGTAACTGCAGAAGATAGATCCTGGGAGAAAATGAAGTTATTTTTGAATACTCTTGTCATATGCTAATAGCATCCTTACCTTTGCATCTGCTTCCAAAGACAAACAAAACCTCCTTTCTCTAGATTTGTCACATATTATATTTATCTGGGTTGCGTACTCTCTGATGCAAGATAAAAATCTACTGTATACAAATGAAGCAATATAGGTTTAGAGTCTGTCCAGGGTCAAGTCACCACCAGAAATTAATGCACAATTGGTTTATCAATCCATGAGTACCCTTTAAAAATAAACTAGACAACCTGTGACCCATTGGGTTTATGTTTCAGAGATATTTCTTTACCTAAACAGAGAAACAGAATGACCAGAGGTGGGCAAAACAGCAATGGGAGCAGGAGAGACTTCCAACTTCCTGCCGGCTTTCCCAGTGACTTTCCTTGTGTGAAGCTGGCAGGAAGTGTCGGAAATCTTCCTTCCTTCCTTCCTTCCTTCCTTCCTTCCTTC